TATATATATATATATATATATATATATATATATATATATAAAATGATCCGTTTTAATTAAAATCTACTTGGTCTTAAGAAGCTGATGACTCAAGTAGATTGCATGTTTCTTACCAATGTCTGTGAGATACTCCTCTCGGACTTTGATTTTCAAAGGCTAGAAAAAAAAAAGGTTGTCACGTTTTAGACACTGAACATGTACCGTTAAAGAAAATGATAGTCACATTGTAAACTGTTTTCTATCCAATTAAAAAAAACACGGTGTGAGTAAAATAAAAATGATCAACAAATTATTTAAATTTCTTTTTAACTTTTTAAGTCAGAACACAAACAACGTGAGTACATACGGCATCTGGATCCAGGAAGTGGGAGCAGATCTGAGGTGCGAGGCCACGAGCGTCTTTAGGAGTGGAACCTAAATACGCTTCTACAGACAGATAGAAGAGCTACAAAAGAAATAAAAACTTAGGGTAAAAAGGCAAATCTCAATCTAGGCTTAGTAATGTTTTAAAGGTTTTGTAAAGTCACTTTAAAGATCCCACAGATAAAAAGGAAAAAACTGTGGACTATCTGCATTTTTCTAGAAAACACCATTTGAAAACAATTTGTGCTGCTGTGACAATAATGGAGAAGCAGCTGCCAGTATAATGGTTCGGTGAATAAAAACAAAAATATACACTAATAAAACATACAGTTACAGAAGAGCCCTGATCCTTCCTGAGTCTGAAAATGAGAGGATTACAACTTCAGATGAACAAGTTGTACCAAGTTCGGTGTTAGCTATGCCAACGTTAGCCATTTAGTTCTTATTTTTACCTATTTGGATCTATGTATTTTATCCTGTGTCTTTTGCTTGTTTGTTTTTGCTGTACAGCAGTTTGCTTGGCCTTGTTGCTGTTTTAAGTGCTTTATAGATAAAATGGTATGGTATGTTCCGTATTAACTTCTCAAAACCTAAAACAAAAGTACAAAGAACAGCTGAAGTCTATTCTATTACTCTTTCAAAGAACTGTGAGGCTCAGAAGCAGCTAGGTACTACATGTTGGTAGTTTCCTGCTCTGGAGAACACGAGTGTTGACAAAATACCAAGGAGGAAACAGATCAGCACTGATTCTTAGAGAATACCTGCTGAATTCTTGTTGTGATATCTGTGAGTATTGCTTTGACTTACTTTTAAGTACAACAATGTGGACTTACCAAAGGGTTGGGGTCCAACAGTTGGGTGAAGATGTATCTCATGAAAACCATCATGTGTGCCGGTCGTGACTTTAACAACTCAATATCCTGGAATGGACCATCCATCTACAAAAAAGAAGAAAGGGAAATGGAAGGAAGGGTGAGATCCAGCCATCTACCATCTGCTACTTGTTCCAGAGTCGGGTTGTAGGAGCAGAAGCTTGAGCAGCCCAGACATCTCTTTCCAAAGCCACCTCTTCCAGCTCCTCTGGGAAGATTCCAATGACTTCCCTGGCCAGCCAAGAGACATGAGCTGCTTTGCCATTGATAAGTGCAACTCCACTCAACTCTTGTCGTATCGATTCTTCTCGGGTGTAGATAATTGGTCACTGTGACTTCTTTCCCTGCTCTGTGGGCGGGATCATAACTGGTCAATGTGTTCAAGTCACTCCACCCGTTCTGGTCCTTAATCGCCCCATAATCAGACTTCAATTGCTTTAGCTCATCTTGGCACTGCTTATAAATCCAGGTGCAGCCATGCTGCTTCATCATCTCCAATGTCTCTTGGTAAATGCACTCATTTCTTGTTGTGCTGTTCAGCTCATGCTCAATCCCAACATCAACCAATAAATAAGGAAAGTCTGTACCTCATCATTGGTCCACCACACTATTTTTGGACCTTCCATGCCAGAAACTGGCAAAAACAACATACACTTAACATGATCAGAGGAAACAGTGGTTCAGATGTAGTTTGCCATTTTGCTGGGCAGGTCATCCAGTGATGTAGCTCTGCTGGCCAATTTACTTTCAGAGCAGCAAACTCACTCCAGAAGTTCAGTGAGGATCTGTGAATGATCCAATGTTGTCCCAAATGACTGATGATGATAAATAGAATCCACCTGTGTGTAATCAAGTCTCCGTATAAATGCACCTGCTCTGTGATAGTCTCAGGGTTCTGTTCAAAGCGCAGAGAGCATAATGAAGACCAAGGAACATACCAGGCAGGTCCAAGATACTGTTGTGGAGAAGTTTTAAGCTGGATTTGGATAAAAAAAGATTTCCCAAGCTTTAAACATCCCAAGGAGCACTGTGCAAGCAATCATATCGAAATGGAAGGAGTATCAGACCACTGCAAATCTACCAAGACCCAGCCGTCCCTCTGAACTTTCATCTGGAACAAGGAGAAGACTGATCAGAGATGCAGCCAAGAGGCTCATGATCACTCTGGATGAACTGCAGAGATCTACAGCTGAGGTGGGAGAGTCTGTCCATAGGACAACAATCAGTCGTACACTGCACAAATCTGGCCTTCATGGAAGAGTGGAAAGAAGAAAGCCATTTCTCAAAGGTATCCATAAAAAGTGTTGTTTAAAGTTTGCCACAAGCACCTGGGAGACACTCCAAACATGTGGAAGAAGGTGCTCTGGTCACATGAAACCAAAATCCAACTGTTTGGCCACAATGCAAAACGATATGTTTGGCGTAAAAGCAACACAGCTCATCACCCTGAACACACCATCCCCACTGTCAAACATGGTGGTGGCAGCATCATGGTTTGGGGCTGCTTTTCATCAGCAGGGACAGGGAAGATGGTCAGAATTGATGGGAAGATGGATGGGGCCAAATACAGGACCATTCTGGAAGAAAACCTGTTTGAGTCTGCAAGAGACCTGAGACTGGGATGGAGATTTATCTTCCAACAAGACAATGATCCAAAACATTAAGCCACATCTACAATGGAATGGTTCACAAATAAACGTATCCAGGTGTTGGAATGGCCAAGTCAAAGTCCAGACCTGAATCCAATCAAGAATCTGTGGAAAGAGCTGAAGACTGCTGTTCACAAACGCTCTCCATCCAACCTCACTGAGCTCGAGCTGTTTTACAAAGAAGAATGGGCAAGAATTTCAGTGTCTCCATGTGCAAAACTGATAGAGACATACCCCAAGAGACTTGCAGCTGCAACTGCAGCAAAAGGCGGCGCTACAAAGTATTAACGCAAGGGGGCCGAATAATATTGCACGCCCCACTTTTCAGTTTTTTATTTGTTAAAAAAGTTTGACACATCCAATAAATTTCATTCCATTTCACGATTGTGTCCCACTTGTTGTTGATTCTTCACAAAAAATTCAAATTTTATATCTTTATGTTTGAAGTCTGAAATGTGGCAAAAGGTTGAAAAGTTCAAGGGGGTTGAATACTTTCACAAGGCACTGTACCTAAACTCTACCACTTGAGACAGCACCTCACTCCGAGCAGTGACCTGGTGAGGGACACTGAGCTCCTTGTTTTCTTCCGTCCATACAATCGTTGTGAACAACTATGAGATTATTAGTAAATAATAGGGGTGCAGAAAAAAAAAAAGATTAATTAAATAATCTAAATTCCCATTCCTGGCGATTCTAAATAGATTCTAAAAGCCCCCAAATCCATTAAAAAAAAAAAAAAACAATTCCCCCTGCTCCTACTCCCGAGCATACTGCATATCGCATTACGTGTTCACCCATCACTGTAAAATTTGGCCTTGTAGGCCACCATACAGCAAGCTAGCTAGCCAGCTCCCTTTATCTGAATGGAGTCCACTAGCATAGAGTGGAGGACAGCATGATTGAACTCGCTCCTTCATCATTAAAAATCGATGAAAAGTCATTTCAGATCCTACAATGTTCCGGGGAAGACAGAGCTTGACCAGAGCATGGCTGTTTGCAAGAAGTGTAAAATGAAAATGTGGTAAAGTATTTTGGAAATACAACAAAATGTGTGGAAGGAAGATGAAAAGAGAAGCAGCAGACCAGCTGCAACAAACTTCCAGCTAATTCCCCAAGCAGAACTGCAAAGATTTCCACACTCCATCGCCTGCTATATCACAAAGGATTTAAGACCAAACAGCTCAGTGGAAGGCGAGGGATTCAGGTTTATTTTTAATACGCTGGACCCAGCATACGTTATTCCTTCACGTAGGTTTTTTAGTGATAAAGCAGAGCCACAACACTACCATGAAACAAAAAAAGCGTGGGAGCAGCTCTGATTAATGCACCAGATGTAGCTCAAAGGGAACAGTTTTTTCTCATATTAGACTAAAACTTATAGACAAGTTATAAAACAAACTTAATGTAATTTGTCTTTTTAACAGGTTGAAGAGAGTCCAGATGAGACACATCACCTGGATCCAGTTCTAAATGATACAATTTATGGTTTATAAATGACAGTTCAGAAGTTTTTGTGCAGGTTTGCACAGGTTTTGAAATTTTGTCAAAGATTTACCAAATATGAATCAATATGGTTAAGACTGTGAAGCCTGTATATTTCATATTAGGTTCAGTTTTGAAAATATAGCAAATGTTAGAGCAATATGGTAAAAAATGACTGTGAAGTATGTATTTTATGATGAGTTAAAGGTTAATATACTATGGTAGGCTGAAGTTTTGTATTTATATATTTTGTATTATTTGTCTGTGATGGACTGGAGACCTGTCCAGGTGTCCCCGGCCTCTCACACAGTGATGGCTGGACATGGGCACCAGTGATACCAGTGACCTGAAAAGGAGGCAGTGGGTAAACATAATGAATGAATGAATGAATGAATGGATGGATGGATGAATTATTTGTTCCTAGATTTTTATTTTTATTTTAGAAAAATCCAGGCAGCTAAGCTAACCTATTACTGGTAATTTAAGTTACAGAATTTTCTGCACTCCTGTATTTGTTCCTATTTTTGGTATAAATACAAAACGATGCAAAAAGATTTGATACAGTAAAGAACCTAAAATTATAGTTTTAAATAAATGCTCTATTTGTTTACATTGCTGTTTAACCTTTTCATCTTGTCAGTTACATAAATGAAACAAAATTTATGACTATTTCAATAGAAAAATCATTTATGAATCGAAAATCGATTCTGAATCGAATCGCGACACCAAAAATCGGAATCAAATCGAAACGCCAGACATTGAGAGATTGGCACCCCTAGTAAATAACAGGATTACTGAAACAAACCTCATTTAAGGCATAACCATCTTCGTCTTCATCTTCATCCTCAGGACTGATGATTTGGGCCTTTCCACTCTTGGACACAAACAGAAATAAACAAAAATAAAGTCAATTGGTAACGTTTTTTAAATTTGAAGCCATAAATAATTTATTCATTCTAATTTACATTTTAATTAGAAGAATGAAAATTGTGCTAGGAAAAAAAAACGAGAGTTGAGTAATTTTTTTAAGCTGATAAATACTTAATGTCCTTCGGGTTATGTGTGGGGAAAATGAACGAAATGACCCAAAACAAGAAGAATGAAAATAAAAATGCGTCTCAATCTCACCATGTCAGGAAGGGCGTGTGTGTCCGAGCTCTGGAGTCTGTGATGAGGGGTCCTGAAGGGTAATGAGGGGGAGGAGTGGGGACTCTCAAAGGCCTGGGGAAGGAAGTTGAAGTAAATGAAGAGTGAGGAGGGGATGAGGGGAGCGGGATGAGTGGATCATCACAAGCACAGACGCACACATTCAACCCGACCATGATCGTGCAAAAATGACTTCAGCTCTCACCTCTATGTCTCCTTCACTTGAGTCCATGGAAAGATGTCCTGTAAAAATCAGAAAGCGTTTTAACAATTTGATACAAAACGCTGTATGTTAACAAACATTTGTAAAGCATAACACTTTTGATCTAATGCTTATGTTTGATTTAGACTGATTTGAACAGGAGTTGCACATTAAATCAAATGGAATATAACAACACTCTGACACTAACCTCCTGCGAGGACGTAGCTTGCCACAGATTCTGATCGTGTTCCATCCTGACAAGGCAAAATAAAACTTCATTCATAGATTACGAGTAAGACCACAAGACCAATCTGACAGCGGATAGAGAAAAGCTCTGCAGAGAGTGGTGAAGGCTGCACAGAAGTCTGTTGGAGTCAGTCTCCCCACCATCAGACATCTACACCTCTAGATGCAGGAAGAGAGCCACCTGCATCATGAAGGACCCCACTCACCCAGCACACACACTTTTTGCCCCACTCCCCTCAGGCAGGAGGTTGAGGCGCATTAAGTGTAGAACCACTAGACTGAGGAACAGCTTCTACCATGAAGCTGTTAGACTCATAAATCCCTAATCAGGAATATCACTGTAATGACACTTTAATTGGTGATATGTTACTTATCTGTGCTGCTGATTATCCATGCTGCTGATTTCATGCCTTTAAGCTGCTGTATTCATTAGGGATGCACCGATCCACTTTTTTTAACTTGCGATCCGATCCCGATACCTAGATCAGAGTATCGGCCGATACCGATCCAGTTCCGATATCATGATCATCATTGATTTTATATGAGGCTGTAATAATCTCCTCTCAAGTACAATTTGTACAAATATATGATGCATGTCCAAAAAGGCAACTTGATGTAAGTTTTATTAATGTTGGATAAGTTTTAAAGTTAGAATTAAATTCTGCTAACACAAAACATGTTTATTTTTATTCCTAGCTTTAAAGTGGATATTAAAGTGATTAATTTTAAGTGATTGTTTAAAGTTATTTTATGTTTTTTTAAGGGGCAGATATAAGATTTTTTTCTTCTTTCTGCACTCTTCATTCAGTGTTATCTTTTAGATGATTTTATTTTTTATTTTGTTTCTTTTAAATGAATGAATTAAATAAAATAAAATGTTAAATGGCTTCAAACACCTGCGTTCATGACATAAACCAACAGGCATGTTCCTGTTTTTAGTATTTTATATCACTTTATAATGTAGCTGTTTTTGTTTTTAATATAATTTTTAAATCATATGTTTTTTTATGATTGTCTATTGTTGTACTGATAAATATCTCCTGGGGGGTAAACTATATCTTGGCTGCAAGTATCAAACTGAGAAATCCTTTGTTTTCTACAACTGATAGTGGTTGGTCATTAATTATATGAAGTTTATGAACTTCTCTGTAAACATTTGAGCTCCGTGGTTTCAGCGATGTCTTCTTCTTGTTCAATCCAAAGCAAGCAGCCTGATTTGGTGCAGCTGCGCTCAGTCTGTCCCTCCTCGGAGACGGGCAGACTGAGCGGGGCAGATTGGACGCGGCTGGCCGGTGTCGAGTCGCTTGTTTTGGGTTGAGCAAAGAGTAGCGCCCCGCTGAAGCCACGGAGCTCGAATGTCCATCGTAAAACTAACTTTACCGCAGTTTAATGTGGCGCTATGGCTCTGCAGACATTGCACGATGCTGTCTTGTTTTGTGGTGTTTAGTGTAAAATACTTCCACACAGCAGACATGTTTAGATGAAAAGTTTGTTAGCTGTTAGCCACAGTGCTGCTAACTCAGTCCTCACGTTGTAGCTGGCTGCAAACTATGAAATGAATTTCCTGAATGTGAGGCGGGTCTTATTACTCTGGGTTCATGAGACACGCCGCCGTTCAGGAAATCCATTCCATAGTTTGAAGCCAACATTCATCATGGATCGGAAATATCGGCAGGTGGATCGGAAAAATCCGATACGTAAATTATGCTGGTATCGGAGGCCGATACGGATACTGGATCGGATCGGCCTCATCCCTAGTATTCATACCCATCCGCTCACAACAGACTCATGTTCGGGCTGATGTTTAATACACTGTATTATTTTACATTATTATTGTTTATTTTATATCTTAGATCCTTGTATACTGTTTCTTTTTATACTTTATATTTTTGCTATTTTTGGATGTAGCTGGGACCTTGAGTACACCGTTTTGTTCCACCTTATGTACCACATGTGATGCAAATGACAATACAGAACTTTGCACCTTGGATTAGACAAAAACAAATAGTGACTAGAATTCTGACAATAAAACAACTGGTTAATAGGGTCAGGCAGTAGTACAGATAAAAGGCTTACTGGGTTATCTCCTCAAAATAACAAAATAAATTTTTCTGAATACTGTCCTTAAAAACTCAGATTTAATCTTTATTGTCATTCTCATCACATGTGGTACATGAGGTAGAATGAAATTTTGTACTCGGTGTCTCAGTTACATCCAACTTAAGTATAAACTGTAAAGAAAAACCGAAATAAGATCTAAGATATGAACTAAGAAATAAGCTAAACTAAGAATACACTAAGTACTAATAGTAAATGGACTGCATTTATATAGCACCTTTCTATCTTATCCAGATACTCAAAGCTCTTTACAACACAATCTGTGTCCCCATTCATACAGCACTCTACTAGATCTACACAAAGCTAATTGAACAAACCATTCTAATGAGACTAATCAGAGATTTATCATATTCATACACTGATGGGACACACATTGGAGGCAATGAGAGGTTCAGTGTCTTGCCCAGAGACACTTCGGAACGTGACAGCTGGTGGATTCGAACCCCCAACTCTTGCATTGGGGGACGACTTCTCTAACCACTCAGCCACAGCCGCCCCTGTACAAAAAGTACAAAAACAATACGGCGAACAGCAGCATGAACACGAGTCTGTGTGAGCAGATGAGCACGAATGAATACAGCAACAAGAAACAGATCAGCAGCATGAGCTCAGCAGCATGGATAATCAGCAGCACATATCAACAATCAAAGTGACATTGCACATTTTTACAGTGATTATTCTGGTTAGAGATTCATGAGTCTAACAGCTTCAGAGTAGAAGCTGTTCCTCAGTCTAGTGGTTCTACACTTAATGCTCCTCAACTTCCTGCCTGAGGGGAGTGGGGCAACAAGTGTGTGCTGGGTGAGTGGGGTCCTTCATGATGCAGGTGGCCCTCTTCCTGCATATGGAGATGTCTGTGATGTGTGGAGGCTGACACCAACAGACTTCTGTGCAGCTGTCATCATTTATCACAGTGTGATTTGATTTAGTATTTTATTTCTTTATTTATGTTCTGTGTTTTTATGTTTTTCTTTTGATGCTTTTAATTAATTTTCTGTATTTTTATTATTTTCCATTAAATTAATCCCATTGATTTTTATTGTTAAGCACTTCGATAACAGCTGCCGTTTTAAATGTGCTTTATAAATAAAGTTGACTTATTTGTGTATAAAGAATGCATTTTTCAACTAACCTATTAAAAGCTTACAAAGTCAAAACAGTACACTTGGGCTTTCTCTTCTTGTTAAAACTGACAGAGTAATTTTGGGTGAATGCAAATGCACGACTTTTAAAAAGTTTTTTTTTTTTTAAATCCCCAAAAATATTTTCTATCCTATTATTTGAGAATTTGCCAAATATAAATAATATAAAAAATACATGGTGTATGTTGTATGTAAACATGTTTTTTTTATATGCATTAAGAAATAAACTAAAGTCAACAGACTAAACATAAAACTATCTTGAGGTTATACAAATCTGTGAATACATTTTGATAGTTTGTATATTGCTCCAACTTGAATTTACAAGTTACTGTTATTTTTTATGTCATCTTGAAGCCCAAACCCTACAGCTGCTCCAAACTAGTAAAACAAATGTAGAAATTAGAATCAGTAGAGCCTAAAAATGGATAAAACGCCTCAGTATGCTCACCACATCCTGCTGAATCTTGACTCTAACTTGATGAGCTCTCCTCTTTGCGCTTTCAATCCGTTCCTCCAGCGATGGTGATGGGTTTCTCAACTGTTGGTCCAGGAGGTCCTGCGAATGAAATTAACCTCAATCTGGTCATCAACAACAGACATAAGTCATAAAACTAACTGCATGAAAGGACAAAGCTAGACTGAGACAGCTGTTTCAGGAGACTTACCTGCAGTTCAGCCTCTTCCTGCTCCAGCATCTTCCTGAGTATCTGACTAGCATGTTTTTGCACTACTGGGTCCTGAAAACGAAACACGTTTTCCACATGAACAATAACTTCTGCATCTCATTCACAGATTATATTTTTAGGATTAGTTTTGTCTTGTTACCCTGACAATAAAAATGCTGTCATTAGTTTCACTCACCTGTAGCGGTTTAGGTCCAGTGATTCTTTGGGATGGGGTGCCGCTCGGTCCAGATGGTAAGGGTGGAGGGGGAGGGGGTAACGGTTCCCCACTCATGTTGGTTCTCTGATTGGATGTGAGGTCAGAGGGGAGGGGCTCCAAGAGGACGGAGGGTGGTGGTCCTTGTAGCGTCAGTGCGACGTACGTTCCAGCTAATGGAAAGATAAAACATTAAAAATTAGATCAAAGAAAGAAAACTTTTTAAGAAAAACAAAAATCTGTTTCACGTTAAACTCACATTTGATGAGTTTTACCACCTCCTGATGTGACATGGAGGACACCAGCTGGCCATTCACCTGAGAGACACAAACACACTTCAAGCAGGAAGAAAACACCTCCTCCCTCCCACTGTAAACAAAAAGCAGTAAAAACCTTGATGATTCGATCCCCTTCTTGAACCCCAGCCTTGACCGCTGCTCCACCTGCGCAGACACAAAGTGAAATTCATCCAGAAATAAAAACTAACAGATTATATGAAAAAATCGTAATAATTTTTGAAACATTCTTATGTTTTTTTTCAGATGCTGAGCTGCTGAACTGGTCTGTGCTGGTATTACTTCTCTGAAGGATGAGGATGTTTAAAACATTTCCTCTTTCATCATTTGTGGGAATGGGAGAAAAACTACTGGAGGACATTCCTTAAATGATCTTTAGATTATACGTGCAGAGACAGAGCGGTCAGACTAAAATAGGGAGGGACTGATTTACTGTAACTATGGTTATATTGATGAATAAATAGCCTCTCCGGTCTCTGCAATGCAAATATTAAAGTGTTAGAAACTAGTTTGTGTCCATGTTGTTTACAGACATCGTCTACAACCAATGGTGCTGGTCACTGGTTGGCAATTCTAAAAATAGCTCCCGTTCACAATGTGAGACATCAGCAAGTACCCGGACCTAAAGGCAATTGGAACTTCAAGTACAGTACATTTGGCACTGTACTTGTAGTTCGTACTGATAGAAAACTACAAAAAGATGGTTTCTAATAAAAGTTGGTTAATAAAAGAAGATTTCTAATCTGAAATACTTGAGTATTTTGGTTGATTTGAATCTCTCTTTTAAGCTCCATGTGGAAAACTTGGTAATGAAACTGAAAGTAAAAATGGGTTTCTTTTTCAGAAATAGATGCTGTTCAACTCTGAATTCTAGGAAACACCTTGTAACTGCAACTTGCCTTCTCTCCATTGACTACGGCGACATTATTTACATGAACGCTCCTACAAGCACCCTGCAGATGTTGGATGCTGTCTATCATGGTGCATTAAGATTCATAACTGGCTGTGATTATCGTACCCACCACTGCACCCTGTATTCACTGGTTAACTGGACATCATTAACTTCACACAGACTCTTCCACTGGTACATTTTCATCTTTAAATCACTTCTTGGTCTGCTGCCATCTCTGCGTGAGTGCAGCTACAGTGTGTGCTCTCAGGACATTATTACCTGCAGTGTTCCCTCAATGAGGACTGAACTAGGCAAAAGGGCCATCACCTACTCCGCTCCTGTTTCCTGGAATATCTTACAAAAAAAGTTCTGAAGGTCTCAACCTTGACCTCTATAAATGGCTTCAAACATTTGCTAAGTTCATGGCAAAAACCCACGCAGACATGTTCCTGTTTTTAGTTTTCCACATCGCCTTACAACCTAGCTGGGGTTTTTTCTTACATTTTCTTTAAAATACCATTTTATTTTCACTTGTTCTTCTCAATTTGTACGCATCCTTTATGATCGTTTACCGTTGTCATCACTCTTTGTTAAAATCAGGTCTCTCTTGTAAATGAGTCCCTGAGGCTCAGTGAGACTAACCTGTATAAATAAAGGTTGCATGAATAAGCTTGTTGCTTGGAATAATGACAGCTGCTATGCTGAAAAGCTTCAAATGAAAGGTACAGTATATGGTTCATGCTATTTCCAAGCCCATTACGCAGGGAGAGAAATGCCACCTCATTTTTATTTTATTTATTTATTTATTTTTTATTTTTTTTTGGGGGGGGGGAGGAGGTCAGTAAAAAAGCATTTTTAAGAGTAATTTTTCAGAGGGGTCCCTTAAGATATAGTCAAACAAACGTACCTTTGTAAAATTAAATTTAAATGAAACTTTCATTACCGTGTTTGCCAGGTAGACAAGTGTCAGAAACTAACAGAAGCATTGAATGTCTTTCTTCACTCACCCCGGCCCTAATTTTTATCTTTAGGATGTTTACTTGGGGCTGTCTTAATTGACACGCCTTTCCAACATCGCATAGACATCGAGGGCAGTGCCACTGGATTGGCAGAATGGGGGGGGGGGGGGGGGTCCCCTCTTCAAAAAGGGGGACTGGAGGGTGTGCTCCAATTATAGCAGCATCACTCTCCTTAGTCTCCCTGGTAAGGTCTATTCAGGGGTACTGGAGAAACAAGTCCGATCGTTGGTCGACACTCAGATCCAGGAGGAACAATGCAGATTCTGTCCTGCCCATGGAACACTGGACCAGCTCTTTACCCTCACTAGGGTTCTTGAGGGGTCATGGGAGTTTGCCCATCCAGTCTACATGTGTTTTGTGGACTTGGAGAAGGCATTCGACCATGTTCCTTGAGGTACACTGTGGGGGGGTGCTCCGTGAGTATGGGACTGGAGGCCCAGAGTTACGGGCTGTTTAGTCCCTATACAAGTGGTGTGAGAGTTTGGTTTGCATTGCCGGTAGTAAGTCGAACCCATTCAGGGAGGGAGTTGGACTCCGCCAGGGCTGCCCGTTGTCACCAATTCTGTTCATAACTTTTATGGACAGAATTTCTCGGTGTAGCCAGCTGGCGGAGGGTTTCCGGTTCTGTGGCCTCAGGATTCCATCTCTGCTCTTTGCAGATGATGTGGTCCTGTTGGCATCATTGTGCCGTGATCTCCAGCTCTCACTGAGCGGTTTGCAGCCAAGTGTGAAGCAGGAGGGATGAGAATTAACACCTCAAAATATGAGGCCACGAGTTCTCATTCAGAAAAGGGTGTATTGCTTTTTTTGGGTCGAGGGTGAGATTCTGCCTCAAGTGGAGGAGTTCAAGTATCTCTGGATTTTGTTCACGAGTGAGGGAAGAATGGAGAGTGAGATTGACAGACGGATTGGTGCAGCATCTGCAGTATTGCAGACTCTGTACCGGTTCAAATATGGTGAAGAGAGAGCTGAGCTGTAAGGCAAAGCTCTCCGTTTACCGGTCAGTCTACGTTCCTACCCTCACCTATGATCATGAGCTCTGGGTAATGACTGAAAGAATGAGATTGTGGATACAGGCAGTTGAAATGAGTTTCCTCCGCTGGGTAGCTGGACTCTCCCTTAGAGATAAGGTGAGAAGCTCAGTTATCAGGAGAGACTTGGAGTAGAACCGCTGCTCCTCCACATCGAGAGGAGCCAGTTGAAGTAGTTCAGGCATCTGGTAAGGATGCTCCCTGGGCGCCTCCCTAGGGAGGTGCTTCAGGCATGTTCAACTGGGAGGAGACCCCAGGGAAGACACAGGACACGCTGGAGAGACTATGTCTCTCGGTTGGCCTGTGAACGCCTTGGAATCCTCCCAGAAGAGCTGGAAGAGGTGCTGTGGAAAGAGATGTCTGGGCATCCCTGCTCAAAATGCTGCCCCCACGACCTGACTTCGGAATAAGCGGAAGATAATGGATGGATGGATGTTTACTTGACTCCCTGGTCATGCGGTCATGTGACTTACAACAAAAGCTTTTTTCGCTAAAATATAAAACCATCTAACCCTGTACTGAACGGGTCACTAAACATTTGACATGTATCCATACACAAAAATAAAGTCCAAATGGAAAACCTAATCACAACCACAGAGAGACATATGCAGCACTCCAATATTACCATGTAAACATGTACACAAAAGCTCTGTCAGAGTTGTTAATATTTTTAAAGGGCTCACTTTGCAGGCGAGTAATGCTAAGACTATATTGTTTAATATATTCCATAGCAGCGTGGATCCACTGTGAGTCAAACTAACCAAGGCCCTAACAAACCCTTATTGTGAGGATTGATAGGGCAATCTGCATATGTATCTAGTTTAGCTCAGTTTTATAACTTGAACCCCACACTCTCTGTTCTTTGACTTGAGAAAGCTCCTCGGATGAAAAGCAAAATGTCTTCTGTTACAAATAAAGTCCAGTTGTTTTTGTCTTGAACATTTTTGAAATTACCATGTCCTGGATGACTGAGAACCTTCACCAGTGTAATACGTTGCAAGTCAATTGTGTTCCTGGGGACGCTGTCTTTGTTGAGATTGACATGGACAAAAGTATTGGAGGTGACTATTCTTCATATGTCTGATGCATTATTTGATGGACATCTGGGACTTTTGAGGTTTCCCGCAGCACTCGTGACATCTTCGCCAACTGGCACCATTCACTGCCTGCAGCTCTGCAGCAGCCAGGCTACAAATACAACTCCCAAATACCTTCAGGGCAAACTCACCCCACTCAAACAATACAATTGTTGCTTGGTATTAAATAAAGTATCATTAATTTAAAATAAATTCATAAAGGTTTTAAAGTAAAAATTATTTTTTAAGGAATATTTCAAAAACTGCCAACTAAAATTTGAGTGGAACAACAGTCAGTGAAGAACAGAAGCTCTCACGTCAACAAGCTCCAGACTTGTACTTCTTTTGACTGGAACTTGTAATCTGGGGAGTGGTGGCGCAGAGATTAGAGAAGATGGGCCTGCGATTGGAAAGTCGCAGGTTCAACTCCCCAGACTGACAACATCAAAACTTGGGTGGAAAAGGTGAAACACCCACACCTGCCTCCACCTTCATTTGCTCCAATCTGAGCCCTTGAGCAAGGCCCTTAACCCCTACCATCTGCTCCCAAACAGGTCTCTCTTGAAAATGAGTTCTCGTGACTCAACGACACTACCCAGTGTTTCCCCTACCATTATACAGGTGGGGTGCCCCACCCCGTCAACAGAAATGAGCACCCCGCCTACCAAACTGAACTTACCTCTCCCACCCCCACCCGGCACTGACATATCACTAAGCTAGCAGCACAAAATACAGGCTCTCTAGCTAAAAAGCCAAATGCAGCACTCACATTGCCTCTTCCCTCATGTTGAACGCCCCCCGCTCCCACTCAAAAACTGTTAGTACAAGCTGCGCTCAGACATGTCTCTGTCCCCCCATCAGCAAAAATCATGGATGAGATGAGCACCCCGCCATGGCAAGCTAACTAGGGGAAACACTGCTACCAGTATATTAAAAAATAAATCTGCCCAAACATCTGCAGTGTCCACCTGCAGAGGGCTGCAGGCTATTTTGACTTTCCCTTTTACTACTTGGTTGCTTCCGCTGTCCAGTTGTAGGACGAACAGACTGAAAAACTCATTCATCCCTGTAGCGATCAGGCTTCTCAATGATCACTGATGATTTCTGTACAGTTATTTTAATGTCTTGTCTAGTATAGATGTTTTATGTGCCAGCTGAATGTGAAACAAGTTGACCCTATAGGATAATAAAGGTTCTTGAACTTGAACTATTTTCTTTTCTTACACTTGAGTTGAACATATCAAAGCACATCTGAAAAAGGACGTGTTGCTGTGAAACTAACTGTGGTGCAACAATATTTAACTTGACCGCCTCTCTTCTTTGTATCATTGCTTGTCCCTGTGTAAGAACTAGAGCTGTTATGCTTTACAACCATTTTATATATATATAAAAAAAAAAAGTATTATCATAGTTTGTGATTTTATAAGGAGCCACCTTCTTCATTCGGTTGCTCTCTTCCTCAGGGTTCACCAGCAAACTGGTAACGAGATGGTTTCTGGGGCCCGCCCTCTCCCCCGTGGTCCCTGTCCACATAGTGCAGGGGTCTGCAACCTGCGGCTCTGGAGCCACATGTGGCTCTTTGGTCACTCTGCAGCAGCTCTTTCAAGCTTTGACCAAAACTGACATAAAACTAAAGTTTATTGGTTGTTATAACAACAACTAAAAGGGCAAGTTTTAGCAGTGTCCCTGTAATTTATTTGGCAAATATATGAATACTAGAAACATTACAAGGAGTAAAACATACTCACTTTCACTTTACGCTTTATTTCTTCAAAGTAGGATATGTAATTTTTCTACAATTAAAAAAAAAAATCACATAAGAATGCATAGTTTAATGTTTCAGTTTTTAGAAACTGGACAAAAACTACATTAATTTTTTCCTTCTTTACAAGAATCTCGTCTTTTATTTTGTCTTGGAGTGTAAAAATATCAATAAATGTTAAAAATCCTTAGATTAGTTTTATAAAATAACCCCTACTGTCCAGAAAAGCGCCCTCCAACAAACTTAATGTGGTCCGTGGGCCACCAGTTGAGAATCCCAGTTGCAGCAGGTATTGTGGCTCTGGACACGTTTAATTTATTGAACAAAGGGGCAGAAATGGCTCTTTTGATCGTAAAGGTTGCACACCCCTGCCATACTGGTTGGCCAACTATGCGAGTGTGCTGCTTGTGGGACTGAGTTTGTTGTGGCTCGTCGGACTGATGAAGTCCTTTGGATGGAGGACGAAACGTCTTAACAAAAAGAAACCGTCCAGATGACCTAATTGAACTTAGTTGGATAACTCGCATAAAGACTTTGTGATTGTTTTTACGCTGGACACACTTCTTGATACAACCACAGACCACCGAGCTACCACAGCCCCCTGTGTGGAGCAGAGCTGCCATCTAGGGCACCCAGGGGAGCAGATGGTGTGGGTTAAGAGCCTTGCTCAAGGACCCAGAGTGGGGCAAATGAGGGTGGAGGCAGGTGAGGGTACGTTACCTTCCTCACCAACATTTTAACGTTTTCGGTCTGGGTGGTCGAAACCACGACCTTCAGATCACAGGCCCACCTTCTCTAACCTCTGCACCACACTTCAAAGTCATAACATGTTCAGGTAAATGATTAAAGAGAAGTGATGCACTGAGCGTTTCCAGCTCCGTCCTTAGTTTCAGGTTAGGTGGTGGGCGGTACACAAGATGCCAAAAAAGCCCAGTTACAAAACACTTTTTCTAACGACAAACTGGAAGTGAAAACCACTTGTTTTTTCATTTTCAACAGAGACTTCTGCTTCGAGTAAAAAAACTCTTATCATGGCTGGTTGTTACAACAATTCTGTCACACACACAAAGACGAGATGATAACAAACATGTCTCACCTGGTCTAACATTCTGCACAAGCTTGACTCTCTCTCCACACACAGTGAAGCCAAATCCAAGCTGGTCTTTTTGCACGACCACACACCGATGGACAAGACCAGCACCTGGCCAAGAGGATGAAAACCTTAGATTGACATGAAATAACCCCAATGGCTAAAACCCTTGAATCTGCTCAGAAGCAATAAAATAGTATGGAATGTTGTCCTGATGCATGCTCAATAATCCAGGTACATAAATCTAAAAAAGTTGAGTCAGGACAGATTCTTCTTGTTGAAATGTTTCATTGTTTATCCAAAAGACTTCTTCAGTCTGAGGAGCTGCAATAAACTCAGTCTTATAAATAGCACCTTCTCATAGTGGATCAGCCAGTTTGTTGACAGCCAGAACTAGCTGTTCACATGATCAAGGAGGACCATCAGTCTAATGACTGATCTTTAGTATTCTGATGGCTGCTTGCTATTCAGGAGGCTGAGTGATACTAGCAATAACAGCACTAGAAGAGGGGGACAGTTGAACCCGGAGGCCTCCACTCCGTTTAATGATGGACGGTTTCTCTCACTTCTCTCTCAAACCATCGTTCCTCTCTGTCCAGGATGTGAACATCTTCATCCTTGAAAGAGTGACCGCTGGCCTGGAGATGAGTGTAGACCACAGAGTCCTGGCCTGATGATGTTGATCTTCTGTGCTGGTCCATCCTTCTGGCCAGTGGCTGTTTAGTTTCCCTGATGTAAGACTGATCACAGCCCTCCTGACACTGAACAGCATACACAACATTGCTCTGTTTGTGCCGGGGGACTGGATCTTTGGGATGAACCAGTCTTTGCCGTAATGTATTTTGGGGTTTAAAAGCCACTGGGACGTTATGTTTAGAAAATAAACGTCTCAGTTTCTCTGATACTTCCTCAACATATGGAATGACCACTGGTCTGGGTTCCTCCTTTTCACCTGATGGCTGACTGGAGTCCTGTTTGGGTTTCTTCTCTGCTTTCAGGAAGGCCCAGTTAGGATATCCACATTTCTCTAGCGCCTGTCTTGTGTGACTCAGGAGTTGGGGAGAATTAAGCAGAAGAAACCCAAACAGGACTCCAGCCAGCCATAAGGTGAAGAGGAGGAACCCAGACCCAGACCAGTGGTCATTGCTGTTAAGTGTCGGGAGGGCTGTGATCAGTCTTACATCGGGGAAACTAAACAGCCATTGGCCAAAAGGATGGACCAGCATAGAAGAGCAACAACATCAGTCCAGGACTCTGTGGTCTATACTCATCTCCAGGCCAGCGGTCACTCTTTCAGGGATGACGATGTTCACATCCTGGATAGAGAGGAACGATGGTTTGAGAGAGGAGTAAAGGAGGCCATCTTTGTGAAAAGAAATCGTCCATCATTAAACAGGGGTGGAGGCCTCCGGGTTCAATTGTCCCCCTCTTACAATGCTGTGATTGCTAGTATCACTCAGCCCTCTGTGAACAGTAAACAGCCATCAGTGTGCTAATGACCCATTGTTATGCTGATGGTCCTTCTTGAGCATATTGAACAGCTGGTTTTGGTTGTCAGCAGCAAACTGGTTGATCCACTCTGTGAAGGTGCTATTTAAGAGACTGAGTTTACTGCAGCTCCTCAGACTGAAGAAGTCTTTTGAATAAAAGACAAAACGTTTCAACAAGAAGAATCCATCCAGAGGACCTGACTCAATCTTGTCAGAACATAGGATGTTACTTGTGCTCTCAGCTGAGACATCTGCTGTCGGTTCTCTTTGCTGGCTGGAAGAGGATCTGCGATCGGAGTCTCCAGTCGTCAGACTGCTGAGCCTGTGTTTGAGGACGAGAAACAAGAGAGTCTGTTGGAGTGAAAACATGCCAAACAGGCCAGTTTAGAAGATAAATGCTCAGTGAAGGCCGGCTGGAGTGGAAAATCAGAAATCTGGATGCAATATATTAAAAAAGGGAGGGTCACAGAATAAAGAGAAGAAAAGGACGCTGATAACAAATCGAAAATGAGGATGGGGTCAGATGAGAAGGGCCATAGAAGGGATAGAAGACAAATGTTGGACAACAATAAGAACGCAGCAGATAAAAACACTCACCAAGCAGCAAAAGGGCTGAAAGCGACGCATGGCAGAAAAGAAGGAAACACATTAAAAGGACAGAGAGAAATTCAGACCAAGAACTGACCCAGAGGGCACAGATTGTTCAAACCATCACCATTGTCTCTTTGCTTCATTTACAGATTATAAAACACAAAACTCAGAAGGACATACTAAAGGTTTGAAATATGGAATATGCAGGAACACAAACACAGACATCTCCTTGTTTGTTAACTGTATTGCATTGACCGAAAGGGTTAACTTCCACAAAATGAATACCAAATGTGAAACAATCCATCGAGACTGCAGGCTGGGAAAACTTACTCTGAAACTAAAACGTCAATCACACGAGAATTTGAGGCTACTGATGTTTGAAGGCAGAGTTAATGATTAACGTATGAGCAAAACGTCTGATTATAGATTGAAGCTTGTTTTTGCGAAACATTTTCCCTGTATTCATGAAAAACACCAGAAATGACTTGAAAAAAGAGATGAGTAATAAAGAGTAGAAAGCAAACACGAGGTTTCAACACGGTTATGCGTGCAGAGTTATTTACCTGCGGTCCGTCTAAGAGGGATGTGACAAGTGAAAGAACTAGTTTCTGAATCAATAAACGCAGCGCACCACGAGGAAACCTGGCTATAGGAAAATGAGGTGTGCTCTAACACTTATTAAAAAGAGCTAACGCTCGTAACGGAAGAATACTGGAACAGTGTTGTGCATTTGTTTATGATATAAACAACAACAACAACAAAAAACTCACACTCCGTGGATCTCCCAATTAGTTTGAACAAAACTATGAACAAATTTGGGAATATGGAAAAACTCTAGACATTTTCTGCTGGCTCTAATCACTAAATAAGATGTAAAAATGTAGTGCTTGTTTGTCCAGAAATGATGAACGTTCACTTCAGAAACTAAAGAGGTGTTGAACTTCATTTGTTTCCTGGTTCAGACCAAAGCTCAAATGAGTGCTGCTTTGTTTTCATGGTCAGATCTGCTTTGAACTGATGCTTGACAAAGATCATGGCGATGGAGTCGCAGAGACTGGAACATTTTTCATGTACAGTTGTTGTCAGACTGATCAATCTTGAAAAGTGATGGTGCTCAGAAATTTCGAGCAGTGGGAGATCTTTTTCTGCTTTGGACATAAGTTTTCTCTACCCTCTCAACATCAAGGGCACTAAGGTGGACACTGGACTGGACAGCTAACACCAACACCCTCTACAAGAAAGAGCAGAGTCGCCTTTTTCTTCTGAGGAGACTCAGGTCTTTTAACGTCTTCAGGACCATGCTGCAGATGTTTTACCACTCGGTGGTCTCCAGCGTCTCCTTCTATGCTGTGGTGTGTTGGGGCAGCAGGGTGAAGAAAACTGATGCCAACAGACTCAATAAACTCATGGAGAGAGCTGGACCTGCAGTCTCTGAGCAGAAGATGCTGATGAAACTGCTCCAGATCCTGAACAACATGTCACCCCCCCTCCGCATGACACACTGGACTCTTACTGCAGCACCTTCAGTCGTAGACTGAGCCCACCGAGGTGCTGCACAGAACAACACAGGAAGTCCTTCCTCCCTGTGAATATCAAACGTTTCAACTTCTCCTCCTTTCTGCACATAGGACAATAAAATTAATCCTGTACTACAATAAACTCTTTAATGTTTCTGTCTGCACCTGTTTTAGAACTTAATTGTTGGTATTTTTATATTCTCTGTTATTTTTGATATCTTGTATGATTCCTTGTGTTTGTTCCTTTGTACTGAAACTCTGGCACAACAATTTCCCGCAAAATCAATAAAGTTCTATCTTATTATCTTTAACCTTTCCAAAGCATCTGTTATGGGTGGACAGACTCTTAGACAGAGCTAAAAGTTTAAAATTATTATATTAATGATTGCAGCAGTCATGATTAGAAACCCAAATGGTCTGAATCAATGCATCTGATGGAAGATACACTGCCTGGACATTAAACAAGTCTCCACCTGGATTTAACTAAGAAAACAGGTATTGAGCCTCCTGTTGGATAATTACTGCATGAGCGATTATCTTTCATCTGCAACAAGTTATTTAACTCCAACTGGTGCAATGAGTTGCTTCTCATTTCTTAAACAACCATGTTAAAGACACATCGTGTGGTCGTGGAAAAGATGTCAGTCTGTTTGAGAAGGGTCAAATCATTGGCATCAAGCAGAGAAAACATCTAAGGAGATTACAGAAACTACTAAAATTGGATTAAGAACTGTCCAACGTATCATTAAAAACTGGAAGGATAGTGGGGACCCATCGTCTTCGAGGAAGAAATGTGGCCGGAAAAAAAATCCTGAATGATCGTGATCAGCGATCACTTAAATGTTTGGTGAAATCAAATAGAAGAAAAACAACAGCAGCACTCAGGGCTGTGTTTAATAGTGAAAGTAAGAGCATTTCCACACACACAATGTGAAGGGAACTCAAGTCATTGGGACTGAACAGCTGTGCAGCCTTAAGAAAACCACTAATCAGTGAGGCTAACTGGAAAAAAAGCTTCAATTTGCTAGGAAGCATAAAGATTGGACTCTGGAGCAATGGAAGGTCATGTGGTCTGATGAGTCCAGATTTACCCTGTTACAGATTGACGGGCGCATCAGGGTAAGAAGAGAGGAAGGTGTTTAATGTTTGGAGTCAAGCATTCAATATGGCCGCCACAACCAAGCAGCCTTAACAAACACATAAATAGATACAAACCAATCAGTTTTACAGCTGTTGGGCTAAATTGTGCTGTTGAGAGTCGTCCCAAACACTCAGTCTGAGCACTAACTTCTTACAAGATCCCACATTATTGCAGGAGCTCACACACACAGACCAAAAACATGCATGTTGGTCTGCCTTCAGGCCCAGGCCTCCCTTGCAAAAGAGATCTGTGATCTCAATGTGACTTCCCTGCTTAAATAAAGGTTAATAAATAAATAGGTGAAGTGATGCACCCATCATGCCTAGTGTCTAGTCATCAATGCAAGATCTTGGTGAAAAATTAATGCAACACTGGATGGAAATAGATCTTGTGACATTGCAGAAGTTTATCAAACAATGCCACAGTGAATGCTGCTGTAATCAAAGCTAAAGGCGAAATATTAGTGTATGACCTTTTATTTTTGGTGGCAACTTTTTGGGGGGGCCATGCAGTGTATGTTCACTTTGTTTTTTTAAATCAGTAAAAGTCATCAGAATACACCTAAAAATAGCCAAATAGGTGGAATATGTTGAATGGGAGAGAATGCTTTATTCTGATCCAACATTTTCAAACTTGTAGATTTGATAATGGATAAGAATAATGCAAGTTAATTATGAGTTGTGACATACTTTGAGAATAAATGACACATTCTGTTCTGATAAAAAAAATGTCTTGTGTCTAATTCGGCCAGTGAATCAGAGCAGGTGAGAGAAATTTGATGCCACAGATGTTTAATCTATAGATACCAAAAAGCCCATATAAACTGCTCACCAGACAGCTGTGCCACCTGCACAGGTGGATTTTTCCCTCATTGACAACGCTGCCGTTACATAACGTGCACAAACACAGTAGTGGAAAGAGCTGGACACTATCAAAACACCAGACAGAGGAAAACAGGAAAGACAAATGATACAAAGATGCATGGCACACAGCAAGGGGAGAAGAAACGGGACATCTGAGTAGATGATAACAAGAATGAGTTACATTAAAAGACTGGAACAGACAGTGAAACACAAACTCTGCAGTATGCACAAAGTATTTAGTTATTTTTCCAGAACGCCTTTTCATCACCTCCGAGTTAACCTGTCTGACTTGTTCTTCTCAAAGCCAAAGTGTACCTCTATCTGATGAAAGTCTAGTCCAACAACTGATTTGAGAGCATTGCATTTTTATGCCAGTTCTCTGGACGTGCTCCAAAACACAGAAACCATGTGGGGTTGCAACGTGAGGCTCGTACCTGTCCAGGGTGGATGTGGGCTGGCGGAGGCTCATGTCTGCTTCCTGGTGAGAGCAACACCGTCCGTCACTGGGCCTTTTCGACCATCACCACCATCCTTCCTCTTCTGTTTGCAGTCCACACAACGGGGCTCTCTACGCTGCGCTCTGATCAGATCTTTACGATACTTAGACGCTGGTTTAGATGAAATAAACGGTCCCTCATGTTCTCATGCACACCAGTAGTTCCAGTAAGGGTCAAGGTTAAAAATAAAGTGCTGATACAACAAATCTCCCCAGTATTCACCTGTTAGAAGTAAATGATATAAAGCAGAAGCTTTGGTTGGATTAAAGTGGTAGTGTGGGTGAAGAGGAGACAGATTAAAGATGGTATGCTTCTTCAGGAATCATCAGTCATGAATGAATGGATGAGCTGCAGATCAACAGCACCCACTCCCTTTAACTCAGCACAACATCTAAATCACTACAAAACCTAAATGGACTCCTTCAACACCTACGACTGAATTAGTGACAACAGCACAGGATTAACCTGAACATGTTTAGCGTTAACTTGCAACCAGCAGACACGCTCAGACTTGTTTACATTGAGCAGATGTTTTAATCTTAATAATCCTCTAAACTCAGCTGACTTTCCCTGGTTTTCAATCGCATTGCATTCACTACGCTCACAAGGAAACAACAAATGCCGTTGGCTTATTTAATAACTAATGTTTGCCTTCATCCAGCCAATGTTAGCTTGCTGAAAATGCAACTCCGAGTAGGCCTCTCCTGACCACCGGCATCGCGTGAGTGGGCACGCCGACCACAAGCGCCGCGTCCCCGGCCTTTGCGGCTGCGCCAACGAGCTAGCTGGCTAACCGGCTATCTCCGCGAAATGAAAGCGCAGCATAGCTTCGGCTACATGAGGATAAATGGATATTAAGGCACTCGACACCGTCCGGTTTTCATATACCTACGAGTCCAGTTTAAGAATGAATTCAGAAACAAAATAGTTGTCTGTAAGCGAGTTACTAGCTGGAAGGCATTCCTCCTGTAGAGCTCCACTTTGCAGTAGCAGGTCTTCTTTCTAAAAACACAGTCAGGATTTATGCTCCATTCGAGGTAAACCACGTAAATCCAAAGTTGCTTTTAATCCTCGTCGCGTATAAGTATTGCCTTTACAGTCCCAATTGTTAAAATTGTGTTGTCTGCTGTGCTGTTATCTGCCTTCTCTGCTGATCCATGAACATCATCCCTGCAAAGATCAAAGTTCAAACAGCGCCCTCGTCTGGCTGGAACTAGGAACTGCAGGCAACTTCTCAGGTACATGTCATCATGAGGACAAAGATGCAACCTAATATTTTTATTTTTTTATTTTAGTTTTTTATTTTTATTATTATTATTATAAACAAAAATTTACAAACAAGCCAAGGCAAAAAAAAAAATTATAAAAAGCATCAATTAACTTTCACTGGTATACATTCAAAAAATATACAACAATAATAATTGCATAAAGAAGGAACAAATGTAGAGGTTTATAACAAATTAAAGTTATTAATTTAAGTATAAAGCTGTTGAGCAGATTTACTTTTAACCAACTTAAGAGACTCACAAAAAGATTTCAGGTCATTTTGCCAATGACATTAAAAAAAAAATCTACATTTATGAACAACAAACTTTCCTAGTAATATTAGGTTATTAATTAAAAATTATATTTTAGAATTTTGAAAATAAACACCAAATTTTATTATTGTTAAGGTCAGAGTTGGCAATCAATTCCCTGGGCCTGAAGCCAATCCCACATCCTGCTCCAACAATCTTGAGTGACACTACAATTGATAAAAAAAGATTATTTAAAATAAATCCTCCTCTTCATTATCACAAAATGTACACCCATCAGTATCAAGCTTAAATCTAGATCTGATAAAGGCATTTGTTGGGTAGATGTGATTTAGAATTTTAAAACTTGTGGAAGAAGTGGAAAATAAATATTTTGTCCTAACTTTAGAAATTATATCCATTCGGAAATCTTTAAGAATATAGTGATGTTTGGTTTGACCCGGGCACAATTCCTTCTGTAAAACTCTCCTCGTGAGCTTGTTTGGCATCATTTTATCTCTAAAGTCTGTGTTTTCTATGTACAGTTGACTCAGACCAGGGAATGTTTTGGAATGAATTAAATCTTCTTTAACCGTAGATCTAAAACCTAATAAAATAAGTGTGGGTAGGATGTAGAACTGAAACTAAAATAATTAAATAAATAACATTTTACTAATATTGAAAAAAGATTTAAAAAGCCTTAAAATTGGTTATTTTATCACTAATGCATTACTAATGGGGGCCAAGATGGGGTAGAGGTAGGGCAGCTGACCTGGGGCCAGAAAGTTCGATTCCCACATGTCGTAGTGCTCCTCGGGTGCCTACATAGCTGCCCACTGCTCCACCTGGGTGTATCCCAGGTGTGATGGGTTAAATACAGAGCACTAATTTCATCTTTGTATGGAAACATACAGTGATGACGAGCTCACACTTCCCTTCTCTGATGGAGTCGGAGTGAGGCAATGAGGGGTTCAGGGTCTTGCCCAGGAACACTTCATCATGTGACTGCTGGTGGAATCGAACCCTTAACTGTACCATTGGAGGACGACTGCTCTAACCACTGATCCACAGCTGCCTTTTTGCTTTTGTTCCTAAAATAATGTACTGTAATAGCAATGAGTTTGGATTCATGTTTTCAGTGTGTCATATAGCAAACAACTTTTACTTCAATCTGATGATCATCTTCTGTCGCAGCATCAATTATTCCACATGAAGCAGATGTTTGTATTTGAAACCGTTTCATTTGACAAAACTATTCTCACACACAAAGTTTGTTTTCTCAGTCATCCAGGTATATAACAACAAAAAAGGTTGAATCATGTCATCTGGACTTCGTTTTTTTGATAAAAAGAAACGTTTCGCCCCTCATCCAAGAGGCTTCGTCAGTCTGAGGCCTAGCCGTCTGGTATTACCCAGAAGCTACCCTGACTCTTGTGTTTCAAGCCTGCCTCAGATACCCCTGAAGTCTGGCCTTTTCACTAATGGTTTCAAAAACACACAATATGTTAATTAAAACTAAACTTTTTTTTTTATGGGGAGTGGTGATGCAGAGGTTAGAGAAGGCGGGCCTGTGATCAGAAAGTTCAACTCCTCAGACCGACAACATCAAAATGTGGGTGGAAATGGTTAAACACCTGCCTCCACCCTCATTTGCTCCACTCAGGGCCCTTCACCCTCACCGTCTGCTCCCCCAGGCGCTCTAGATGTCGGCTGTCTGCTCCACACAGAGGGCTGCGGTAACTCGGTGGTTGTGTCAGGAAGGACATCTGTAAAATAACTGCCAGGTCTTCGTGTGAGTTAGTTGGTCGTGGTGACCACTGAAGAACGGAGCAGCCGAAAGAAGAAGAACCACGTATGGTACGAAAACTGGGCTTTCATTTGAAGGGTTTCAGAGCCGCACCGAACCCAAACTATCATAAAAACCTGCCATCTTAAATGGCGCAGTTGAACTTTTTGTTTGTTATGAATGCTGAATAATGATCATTTGAATTAAATATTTTATTACAAATGTAGGTTTAACTCTGGCTTGTTGCAGAGAAGCCTTGATGTCAGTGTATAGGTTTGATGTTTCTATGTTAAACCACCAATAAACGTATCAATGCATGTTGACATAAAGTACTCATGTGCTCTCTTTGGTCATCTCTAAACTGGATTACGTGATTAAGTTTATTATATTTTGTACGACAGTGATGTAAAAACAGCTACATTTGCAGCTAAAGCAGAAGGTTGGAAGACGTTTGGATTGTGAAACAACTTCAACATTCAGAGTTAGACCCAGTTGGTGTTGCAGGATTTTCACCCTTGTGTTGTACGTCGTATATACTTCCATCTGTTTGTGTGTTAGAAACAATCGTGTTAAAATAACTAAAGTGCAATAGCTAAATGGTGTTGAAATTTAGCCAGAAAGATTAGGGTCAATATTCATTCAACCTTTATTTATACAGGTTAGTCTCATTGAGCCTCGAGGACTCATTTACAAGAGAGACCTGATTTAAACAAAGAACACAGATGACAACATCAATCATATAAAAGCATACAAAATGAAAAGTAAATAGGAGAAATGATATAAAAATTAAACAAACAGCTACATTATAAAGCGATGGAAAATACTAAAAACAGGAACACGTCTGCGCTGGTTTTGCCATGAACTTAGCAGATGGTTAAAATCCCTGAGAGTGAAAATGAGAGCTACATGTAAAGTAAAGCGCTGCGTGTTGTCACCACTGTATGTTTCCATACGATGGTGAAGTTAGTTCTCTGCATTTAACCCATCACACCTGATGGAGCAGTGCGCAGCTGTTAGCACCGGGGAGCAATTAGGGATTGGGTGTCTTGCGCAGGGACACAACATGTGGTCATGGCAGGGAGTTGAACCTGCAACTTTCTGGTCCCAAGTTGGCTACCTCTACCCCTCGGGTGTCCAAAGTGCGGCCCGGGAGCCATTTGCGGCCCCTGGAGTGATTTTTGCGGACCAGAACTGCCGTTTAAGAATATTATCATTTTGGCCAGCAAGTGGATGCAGACTTTCTGCAAATTAGTTGGTAATCCTTTTTTTTTATATAATGTTTAGGTTTAACAGAAAAACGGATGAAAAACAATCGTCTTAAAATGAGGATTATTAAACAAAACACAAACCTTTGGCTGTAATTTTTATATTTTCACTTCATGATATAAAGCACCAAAAAACTTTACTGATTCCTTCCAAAAGAAACTTTTGGATAATGATTCATAAAACTTGTCTAAATATTGCAGTTGATAAAATAATCAAGAGGGAAAGTGGATATTTTTAAATGAATATAACGTGGTATCATCTACATACGAGTTGATCAACTTGATCAAAGCTTCTTTGAATCCGTTGCATGGACTGCTGGACGATTTTTCAGAACTTTGCAATGTATTGACTCAAAACAACCAGCAGAGGGTGCTGTAGGTGATTAACTGGATTTTAGAGGCAGTAAAGAA